AGGCGGCCAGGCACTGGCCCAGGGACAGGACCCGGCCGGCCGGGCAGCCGGTGCAGTGGGCGGCCCCCGGGCCGAAGCAGGTGGCGCATGCGTCGCTACATGCCCGGCAGGTGCCGACATTGGCGAAGGTCCCGGCCGGGCAGGCGCCCTCCGGCAGGCAGGCCCCCTGGTACGGGATGTAGCCGGCCTGGCAGAGGTCGCACCAGTCGGCGGACGTGCACAGCTTGCACCCCTCGGAGCAGGCCGAGCACATGGGGCTGCCATTATTGGACCATTGGAAGTGCCCGTCCTCCGGGCAGCTGGCGATGCACAGCCCACCAGCCAGGTGGACCGAGGCGGTAGGAGCGCACTCAAGGCACACGTGCGGGGCCTCGGCCGTGCAGGAAGAGCAGTTCATGGAGCAGGCGGAGCACGTGCCGGCGTCCGGGTTGGCGAAGGTCCCGGGCGGACACTGGTCCGGCGGGAGGCACTTCCAGTTTGAGGTCAGGAGGAAGCCCGGCTGGCAGGTCAGACAATACCACGAAAAGACGGTGTGGCACATTTGGCAGCCCGGCGCCTGGGGTCTGCAGGCGCCGGCCCCGAGGGCCGGGTTGACGCAGGAGGCCGGCTCGGCCCCGGGGGTCAGGGTGGCCGAGTAATCGAAGCACCTGGTGCACTGGCTGGCCTTGGGCCCGGTGCACGTGGCGCACATCGGGTGGCAGGGCTGGCAGGTGGTCGTGGCCGGCCGGCCGCCGGGCTGCGACCCGGCCGGGATGCTGTGCGCATACAAGCCATCCGGGCAGGCGGCCAGGCAGTCGCCATGGTGCAGGTGGTAGCCGGGCTCGCACACCAGGCAGGCGCCGCTGTCTAGGCTCATGCATTCCAGGCAGTGGTCCCTGCACGGGCTGCACGTGCGCGAGTCCCTTTCGTAGGTCTCCCCCGGGGGGCAGGCCGTGCAGTGGGCACCGGGGGCCGACGTCTCGCACCGGAGGCAGGTCCCATTGCCGCAGGGGTCGCACCGGCCGGCCGCCAGGTTGGGCCCGGTGCCGTCCGGGCAGCTGGACACGCACTGGTCGGTGG